CCCCAGCTTGGCCGAAAGATCAGGAAGCGGATTCCCTTGCAGAGGAGGAGGAGGAGGAGAAGGAGGAGGAGGAGGAGGCGAGACGGATGGAAGGAACGCGGGGAGAGAGGGAAGCCCAGACACCCCAGGACATGCTTTTGTTCAATGCGCGGACCCCGCTCCAGAAGGGCCCAACTCCTTCTGTCTGTCTTGCGTCCTGGATCCATTTTTGACAAACTCCCGGGGCCCAGAAGCGGCCCCCGTGGGCCGAAGCACAGGAAAACCGCCGGGACTGAAAGCATCGGATGCCACCGGAACTCTGGGGGACGGGTTGGGAGGGCCTCCCCTGCCCCTTCCCCCCCCCCCTCTGACGGATCGCGAGGAGGCCGCCCGCGTGGGGGCCTCGATGGCGGCCTCCAGCGGCCCGCGTGCCCTCTCGAAGGCGCTGCGCCCCTCGCGCGCGTGCGCAGGGGCGGCGCGGGCGCGGGGGAGGCCCGCTCCGGCGCATCCAGGGAGAGGGGGGCGTCCAAGAGCGGGGTTCGCAGATCATGGCCAGAGGCACGTGCGCGGACGATGGGGGGGACCAGAGGGCGTACTGAAAGGAAGCGAGGGCGCTATGAGATCCCGGGAGATATCATGGCCCCGGCCATGAGCAGGAACTGTTGCTGACCGTGTCGCGGCGGCGGCACTGGCGACACGCTATGCCCTGCGAGCGGATGGCGTGTCGCTCCGCTCCGCGTGGTGGGAGGCGGAGAACAAGTCGAGAAGTTGACACTTGGAACTGGGGACGTGGATAGCGTGCGTGTTGTGCAGAAGCGTGGTGGGCCAAAACCAGCGGAGCGACACGCCAAGCCAAAGCTTCTGACCGCAGTCATGGTAAAGGGAAGCAATTCATGCACACTCCCCCTCTCCCAAAATTTAAAGTTGGCACGCGCGGGGAAGATTGTTGTCGAAGCGCAACTCATCAGAGCTACCACCTTTAATGATTCATTCGGGGAAAGGGGGCCTTCAGTCCGAAATTTAGCGTGGCTCCCGGCGTGCCCCCTGGGGCTTCCAGCGTGCCCCCATGGCTCCGGGAAATGTTCTCGCATGACTTTTTCGGGCCCAAGAGGGCCCCAAGGCGAGCCAAGAAGCCCCCAAGCGGCCTCCAAGACGGTCCAGTGAGGGCCCCGAGACGCCAAAAGATCGGCCCACGACGCCCAAGATGGCCTCACCACGGACCAAGAGGTCTCCAAGACGCCCCACGAAGCCTCCAGTAGGCCTTCCAAGAGGGCCCCAAGAGGCAGAACTCAGTGATTTCCCTAAGGCTTTTTTTCTTGCTTTAAAAAAATGTTGTTATGCTGGTGTTTTTGTAAAGCAACAAAGATTTTGGCGTTCTCGCCTTTTCAGCTTTCCGACGCTCCAAGGCGGCCCAAGACGCCCTCAAGACCACCCCAAAACAGAACGGCCCAAGAGGCCTCCAAGTGGGCCCCAAGAGGGCTTAAGAGCGCCCCACGACGCCCAAGGGGCGCCAAAGACGGCCAAAGAGGGCCCCCAAGCGGCCTCCAAGACGGTACAAGAGCGCCCCGAGATGTTGAAAGATCGGCTTAAGATGCCCAAGATGGCCTCACAACGGACCAAGAGGTCTCCAAGACGCCCCAAGAGGCCTCCAATACGCCTCCCAAGAGGGCCCCAAGAGGTAAAAGTGAGTGATTATCCTAAAGTTTTTGACGGATTTGGGCGTTCTCTCGGCTTTCCGACGCTCCATTACTGCCCAAGACGCCCCCAAGACCACCCCAAGACGGCCCAAGAGGCCTCCAAGAGGGCCCCCGGACGGCCTAAGAGCGCCCCAAGACATCCCAAGAGGCGCCAAAGACGGCCAAAGAGGGCCCCAAGACGGCCCCGAAAGGGGCCCAAGAGAGGGAACACGAGCCGAAAATCCGAGCCATCCTCCCCAAGAGGTCCCCAGGAGGCCGCAAGAGGCTCCAGAGAGGCCCAAAGGAGACCCTAATTGGCCCCGAAACAGCCCCCAAGAGGCCTCTAAACTGCCTCCCAAAGGCTCCCCAGAGGCCCCCCACGAGATCCCAACGAACATGTAATAGGCTTCATACCCACAACCCAGGCACGGTGGCGGGATATGCCGAAGAGTTTTCGGTATGGCATGAGTGTTCGCTATTTTTCTCCGAGGCCCGACCCTTTCCCCAGAAGTCCCTGATTATCTCAATACGGGGACCCAGAAGTCCCGAGCCTTTCCCCAAGGCAATTTTTTCATCCCGGATAAGTGTTTGACGGTCCCGAGGCCCGGCGAGGGCCCCCGGAGGCAGAAAACCGCCCAAACGCCCCCGTCGTATATTTTTCCCGACGCGAGGGTTTACGGACGGAAGCTTTTGCACAGCGTGTCGCTACGGCGGCCCTGGCGACACGCTATGCCCTGCGACCGGACAGCGTGTCGCTCGGCTGCGCGGGGCGGGAGGCTTGGAAAGGATCGGCACGTGGACGCTGGGGGGCAGGAGGTGGATAGCGTGTCGCGCCGAAGCGTCTTGGGCCAGAACCAGCGGAGCGACACGCTAAGCCAAAGCTTCTGACCGCAGTCACGTCATCCGCGGCAGGGTCGTGCATCGGCCGCCCCTGGACGAGGGCCGCAACCATCCCTCGGCCCTCGAACCTCAACTCTCGACCCTCGACCCTGGATGCTCGAACCTCGACCCTCGACCCAGGATCCTCGATCCTCGAACCTGGGCCCTCGAACCTTGAACCTCGAGCTTCTTGGCCGCCCCGCGGGAGAGCTTGGCCCCACACCCCGTGCTCTCCCCGGGCGGGCGGGCAGGACGGAGGAGCGGAGGCTGGGCGGGGCTCTGGAACTCCAGGCAGGCCCCGCGCGCCGTCGCATGGAGCACGCGTCGGGCCCTCGGAAGGGGGGCCACGGGGGCCACGAGGCGGGCGGCCCGCAGGAGGCGAGGCGAGGCACAGGTGCGTCGTTACTGTGCAGTGGTGACGTGCGCAATCGCGAAATCGTAAACGCACAACAGCTGATCGTTTGTGCGCAGTGGGCTCGTCGCCGCCGGGGCCCAGATTCGGCACGCAGGGCCGATGGAGTGCTGAATCCGCGGGAGCAGCGCCGCAGAAGCGCGGGAGACGCGCCTCGGGGCCCCCAACCAACTAGGTGGAGCGCGGGAGGGAGAGCGAAGACACGGATTCGGCAGGGAATCGGCCTTTGCGCGCCGAATCCGTAAGGCGCGGGAGACGCAGATTCGGCACGCAATGGCCGATTCCATGCCGAATCTGCGTCTCCCGCGCTCCCTCCTGCGTTCCCCCCGTTGGTTGTGGGCCCCAGGGCGCGGGATACACAGATTCAGCACGCAATGGCCGATTCCATGCCGAATCTGCGTCTCCCGCGCTCCCCCCTCGCTCTCCCCCAGTCTCCTCCTCCCCCTCCTCCTCCTCCTCCTCCTCCTCCTCCTAATCCTCCTCCTCCTCCTCCTATCCTCCCCTCCTCCTCCTAATCCTCCTCCTCCTCCTCCTCCTCCTCCTCCTCCTCCTCCTCCTCCTCCTCCTCCTCCTCTCTCCTGCTCTCCATCTCCTGCTCTCCTTTGTATACCTTTGTATACCTTTGGATGCAAACGATTATGGTTGTATATGGTCGAGTTTGTGTGTGTGTAGTTTCACTTTTCGTTGTATGCGTACGCTCTACTCTTCAGGCGAGGCGCCGGCGTACGTGCAGGATGGCGGTCCTGCGAGAGCACGGCGGTTGGGCCAGAGCCCCGGATGCACTGCGAGATGCTCTATGTGATCCATGAGCGCAAAAGCTCGCGGAGGAGGCGGAGGGAATGCGACGACGACGACGACGAACAGCACGATAAGCAGGCCTGCAGGAGGCGGACCTTGAGGAAACGCCTCCAGCCTCGAAGCTTCAGACCTCGTCGGGGTCAACGATACTCCAGGTTGAGCCTGGCCCAGGCCATTTCCGCAAGTACGGGCCATGACGCGAAGAAGCTCCCAAAAGACCCGGGCTGGTGGACGGGAGGGGAGCAAGGGATATTGGCTCCAAGTGGCCGGCTCCAGAAACCCTACGCGCAAGAGTGTTGAGGTCTCGCTTTTGCTTCTGCCGCCGTCCGCCGGCTTGCGGAGGCGCCCTCGTTTCACCTCCGCCGAGGAAGAGATGCCCGACTCCTCCTTTGATTCCTTGAAGGTGGGCTCTCGCCGGATCGTCCCGGGTGGCTCCCGAAGCCCGAGTCGGCCAGAGGGCCTCGGAGGGGGACTGGGCAAACCCACCGCTGGTGCTGGACCCCGTGCGCTGGCCCCCCCGACCTTGCTCCTCTGCGCTCCGCCCGAGAGCCTAGAAGACGCGGACGACCTTCGAATACCTCCGAGCAAGTCGACGGCGACGACCACGACGAGAACCTCCAAGAAAGTGCGAACATCGTCGAGCAACGTCGATAACAATTGAAAGCGGTCGACGACCTCGACACGACGACCTCGACAGAAATCATCCCCGATTGACGACGACGACGACGACGACGACGACGACGAGGACGGCGACGACGACGACGACGACCTCAGGAGGCAGCAGGCGGGACGGGGGCGGCGCGGCGCAGAGGTTGCCGTGCAGGAGACGGGTCCTCCTCTTCCTCCTCTCCCTCCTCATGCTCCTCTGGCGGAGAGGGGCCGTGGACCCCGGGGCTTCCCTCGTCGGGACCAACTCGTCCTCCCGATCGTTCTCTGACGGTCCCGGAGCCCACGAACGCCCCGTGGAGGCCGAATGCGGCGAAAAGCCTGGCGAAAGGGGGGCCATTGGGGGACCGGGGGATCGCCACCTCCTCGAGGAAGAGGCCCCACCCCCCAAAGCCGCGACGGGTCGCCCAGAACGCTCGAGATCCGCCAGAGAAACCTCCTCGAGATCTTCGGCCATTGGCCCTCGATCCTCAGGAGGAGCTGGCGATCACCCCCCCCCCCCTGGTGGTGACCCCGCTGGGGCGCCGCCTGAAGTTGCGCGCTGTCGACGGGCGGAGCGGCCGGGGGAGGGCCCGGCAAAGCGCGCCCGCCTCCTCGCCGCCCTGGAGCTCGGCCCGGAGCCGGTCGATGCTCGCGCGCACCTCGGCGCTCTGGGGCCTCTGTCACCCCTGCTGGGGTCTGTGTTCTGCCCCACTCCTGCCCCCCCCCCCTCCTCTCCTCCTGTGCCCCTCCCCTTCCCCTCCTCCCCCCCCTCGCGCCTCCTCTCCTTCCGCCTTCATCGTGCCTCCCTACCTTTACCGTCGCCTCCACTCCCACCTCCCCTACCTCCCCTGTCTTGCCTTCGTTCGCACTATCTTCCCGCTTTTCCTCCCCTCCTCGCCTCTTCTTTCCCTCCTCTCTCCTCCCTCCTTTCTGTCCACGTCCCTTTGACCGCCGTCCCCTCCACCTTCACTCCTCCTGGGGCAGCTGGGGAGGAGGCAGTCACGCTGGCCAGCTCGGGGCTACTCGTGATGCGGCGCTTCCTCTCACGATCTTGCACACTTCTACATTGACCCTACTGGCAGTAGAGTCGAACCAAAGGTTCAGCCATCCTCCCCCCCATGAGCGGTTGCCCTTGGCGGGGGGGGGTCAAACTTAGAAGCTGTAAATAGAAAGCGCGTGGGACAGAGGGAGGACCCCTCAGGGAGCGGGGTGGCTAAATCCCCCAGCGGTCCTAGGGTCGATCGAGGGGGAGAAGAACGACTAAGCGGCGGGGACTCCTCCTCCTCCTCCTCCTCCTCCTCCTCCTCCTCCTCATCCTCCTCCTACTGTTCCTGCTCCTCCTCCTCCTTCTCCTCCTCCTCGTCCTCGTCCCTCCTCCCTCCTCCTCCTCCTCCTCCTCTCCTCCTCCGCCCATTATCCTCCTCCTCCTCCTCCTCCTCCTCCTCCTCCTCCTCCTCGTCCTCCTCCTCCTCCTCCTCCTCCTCCTCCTCCTCCTCCTCCTCCTCCTCCTCCTCCGTTCTTCCCATCCTCCTCCTCCTCCTCCTCCTCCTCCTCCTCCGCGAGCGCATCGCGGAAAGGCCGAAACCTGCCTTTCCCGAGTTCATCCGCCGCCCTGGCCCTGCCGCGCCCTCCCCCAGGGAGCGAACTCCTAGTACTGGTGGTCGCCGATATCCAAGAAATGCCGTAGGACGACACTCCAACACATCAGTACAAGGGCTGACAGGTGCACAGAACAGAAACCAACAGATGACGCAGCAGGCGAAGTACGCTGCTCGAGACGACCAGTCTGGTCCAAGTGGCCAGGGAAGGTGTCCCACTTCACTGGCCTCCCCCGCTGGTGCCGTTCAGCCCAGGGCGTCGGCCAGCGGGTTCTCACGTGGGGGCCCGACGCCTTGAGCCCCGCCGGAACAAGAGGTGGAACTCGAATTCGGGCATCCGCGCGTGGTAATCATCACACCACTGCCAGAGACCCACAAAACTCAGAGCCTGCAAATATGGAGAACGCAACGAAGAGCAGCACAAACTTGGTGCTCAAAGGCTGGCAACTACCCGCCTCACGATATCATTGGTAAATGTGTGTCGCCCCTCGCTCAGCCTGTCCAGTTTACGCCTGAGACTGCTTGCCGTAGGTCGTCGCCGCGCTGTGCCGCCCAGCTGCCTTGCACACCTGCAACAAACCCGCCAAGCCCGACACAGCTTCACCGAACAAAAGCATCTCCTGCAGGCCGTATACGCTCCAGAATTCAAAAGATCGCGCGTTCTCAGCGAATCGCATGCATTCCAGGCCCCAGATAACTGTCAGCGAGCCGCAACGCCGCGGTGAGCGCTTCAGTGTTGGTTGAGGACTTGGCCGCCAACCCGAAGAAAACAACCTGGGCCTGGCATTTCATGCGACCCAGTTCGGCGCGCGTGGTGAAGACTAAATGTTAGCCCGGACCTTGGCCTCCTTGGCCCCTCTGCCACAACGTTGACCACGCGCGACGCACCAACCCGTTGGCCGTCGCCACGAACAGGTGCGTCTGGATAACCAGCCTTGTCGGTGCCCCTTTCTCATGCAATTTGGGAAGCAGCTTTGGATCCACCCAAGCGCCTTGCGCAATCATAAACCCCATGGCCTCGGCAAATTGATGGTTAACGTACTGTTGATACTTGAGGTCGGCATGGCCCACTTCTGCGAATACATTGGGCGCTCTGCGCGATTTAGCCCCCTCCTTCGCGAAGTGATCAGCCCAATTGCCGCGCCGCCAAATTGGCGACAGCAGCCTGTCCAGGTACTCGCTCGCATCCAATTGTGATTGCGCCCGTGCCACGCCGGGCGGCTCTGTCCCGACCGTCGCGAAGGTCCCCCTCCAAACATCAACGCGTTTTGCCGTCGCACCCTCCTGCCTGGGGCTCCAGTTTTGAACATGGTCAGTCAAGTCCGATGCCACCAGCTTCGCCCTCGGGAGAAGGCCACGCGCCTTGCGGTTTGCCGATCGCAAGAAAGAGGCCGACAAATCTGCGCGGAGCGTTTGGCCATCGACTGGAACCTGCACCACCGCCCAGCCACGATTGCACATGTCGGGCATCGCAGACTCGGAGCCGAACCCGCCCGTGAAGACTGTATCTGACCAACCTTCCGCATCTGAGACTCCATGGCCCATCGCCCCCAACCCCAACGTCCACCTTCGAGCTGGCCCGTCCAGTTACGCTGGCACGATTGGAAGCCCAACCGGCAACTCAAGCGCATCATGATCGGGGCCGCACGTACCACGTTGATGCCCTTTGTCCAGCATCCACGTTTGAACGCCCCGAAGCTTCTCCGCAGGGCCCTGACCTCCGCCATCTGAGATCCCAGCGGTCAGCCTTCTGCAACGATGACAGCGATGCACTGGCGCGCCCTTTGGCCCATCACATGCGCCGCAAGCCTCTGTTCTCGCAAGTCCGAGAAGATGCTCCAGCGCTGGGGTAAAAGTACCCAACTCCAAAGCGTACTCATGCACCCGGCCTGCCTTGACTGGTTGAGCTTCGCCTTCTTTCCTGCGACAGCAGTCCCCATGGCTCCTCCCCAAAACGACGCCCCGATACCAACGCCAACAGTGTGGTGGCCAATTATGTTCTCATGCTGCCAACGCTCAACGCCTTGGCGCACAAGCTACTCCACCTCATATGGACAAACAAACAACACACATGTGTTGTCGCCATGATCCGTCAGCAATTGCTGCCGTTGCCGACTCCGTGGTCAGGCCAATCCAAGTAAGACTGCACCAAGCCCCAACAATCGGACCTCGCACTAACGACCATCTGATTAAGACACCTTCCTTGCTAGCGAAACCTTGGCGCATAAATCTCCAAGCGTTCTCCAATCTGCCAAGACTGCGCCTTTGGTCCCATGCAATGTTGGCGCACCTCGCCGGTTGCACTGTGGATGCGAAGATCGGATCGCACGGTGGGCTGCTCGGCGTGACCAGATGCGCTGCAAGAGAAGCTCCGCGCCTGTTTGCACCTGCCAGATCACCAGCAAACCTCCACAGCCGAGCAGTTGCAGGCCGCGTGCACAAGCCGCGCCGGCCCCGCGCGCAGCCGCCGGGAGCGCCACCACATGCCGAAAGCTGCCTCTCATATCACCAGCTGCGCCTCCGAGTCGCATTAGTCGCACCCCTCGGCTCATTGAACCTTGAACTCTGACGTTGGACTGCTTCCGCGCGCGCTTGCCTCCGCTCCACCCTATGTCCAAGGCTGCGAATCTGGTGAGTGCGTCGCATGCCCGGTCTGCCTGCTGCAGCCTTGCACCTGCGCGGAGCTTCGTCCATCGCAGCCGCGAGCCCAGATTTGTCACCCTCCACAGCCAGCCCAAATTTGGAAGCATTCTGCTTGGAAGTCTTCACCGCGCTCCAAATCTGGCCCGCGTCGGCGTTCACCGCCCCCGCCCATTGAATTGTTAGGTCGCCCACCGAAGCCCCCGGCCATGAACGCGGCCCTCTGAGCTCAGCCAATAAAAGCCAGGAGAGACCGCGAAGCAGGGTCGTTGCGTGCGCGCGCCCAAGCAGAAAGCCGCGCGACGTGGCCACTGCTCTGCTGATCGAGCCGTGGGCCTTCACGCGTCAAGGCATATGGTATACTTGTTGGAGCACCAGAAATAGCCTCAGGTCGCACTGTAACCTTCCATCTTCCGGGGCACAACTGGCGCCATTTACCAGTTCGTACCATTTGTATGCTCCCAGCGCTGCCGCGAAACTTTGCTCGCCCAAATCGATCGCGAGCTCGGCTTGGAGATAGCGGTCGGAAGTGCAGTCCGAGGGTGATCGCCCTTCCCCATGCCCCCCATAGGGCTGCAGAGGGATGATGAGCTAGCCGCGCCATTAACGCGCTTGACCTGGCCCGCCCCAAAATACTTACGAAGGTGCTCATCGACTCGCATTCCAAATCCGCGCCGCGGGCCAAACTACCAGCGTTCTACATGTCATGGATTATCTTGCCAACGCCCCAACACCACTCTTCGACGCAGTAAGCGAAGTCTCCGGAGCACCCCCCTTTGCCCAAACGTGGCATGGTCTTGGAAGCTCTGGACGGCCCCGCGGAACATTCCGCTGGCAATCTCCTGGTCAATATTTCGCATCGCTTGGCAACTTGATCTGTTGCAAATTGTTGTCGCTTCGCGAATCCCCACCAGCCCATCCAGAAACGATGCCCAGAGGAATTGCCTCGATCAGAGAAGTGGGCAGCACACAGAGGAAGCCATTATGAGACATCTTGGGATATCTTGAGCCATCTTGGAGGTCATTTTGGGCTCTCCCAGACGCTCTTGGAGTCATCTTAATCCGTGCCCCCCCCCAAGAGGCCTCCATGTGGCTAAAACCTGTGTAGAATCAATGATTAGGCATTCTCGCCGAGGCCTCTTGGAGCATCTTGGGTGCATCTGGGGGGGCTCTTGGGGCCTCTTGGGGGTCTCTTGGGGGCCTCCGGGGGGCCTCTTGGGGGCCTCTTGGGGCCATTTTGGGGCCATCTTGGGACCTCTTGGGGCTTCCTGGGCGCTTCTTGGGGCCATCTTGGAGGGAGTCGATCAAACAAGAGGGGGGGGTGAATTAGCGCCCCCCCTCGGAAGCCCCTAAAATCGCCTCTTGGACCCCTCTTGGAACGCTCTTGGAGTGCTCTTGGGCGCTCTTGGGGCCGTCTTGGG